TCCTCCTGTTCTTCAAGATTCTCCTTTGTATGGACTGATGAAGCCATTGTGTGGCGAAACGTTTCCTCGATAAAGATACCCAAGAGTTGCACATGTGTCTAATTTATCAACGTCTCCTGTCTGTTAACTGCTTCACTTCCTTCCCTTAAAGTGATCAAAAAAGCATTATTTCATTTTCAAATATCTTATGTAACTTGTAAGTTTATTCAGGTGCAGGTACATATAAATACTTCCATAAAATTATCATACATAGCAGCATGTGTGTAGATTACCTAGAAAACTCTCAAAAAAGTCAATGTCTTATAAGTCAGATTTATTCATTATTTATCCTCCTGTACCTCTTGTTTCTATTTTTTTCTTATTCCCATATGTTGTACAATATCATACAATTACAGTCATTCAGACACAGTTGTTTTACCAAGAATTATACAAAGAACAATCAATGTACTTGTACGATGCTTAGCTGTTGCTAGAATGTTTGGCACGTGTTGAGTCATGTGGAGACGTGTAGGAAAGACAGGTTGACCATGATAACAATATATGTGCAAGAACACACGTTACCTGGGACGAGTAATGACCATTGTGAGTCACCTCAAGCTGGTTCATAATGGTTAACGGGTGCAGCAGCAGCAGCAGCAGCAGCAGCAGCAGCCTTCAGCGGTCAATTGTTAGTACCTGGAGTTTACCTGGAGTCTCTTCTGAAGGTCATCACCCCCGCGGGCCGGTCCCAGACCAGATCTTCTGGTTGCTGGCTTGATCGATTAAGCTGTTAGTGCCAGCTACCTACATTCCAGCTTTATTCATTCAGATTTAGTATATTTTTTCCACACTTATTTTGAATTTATACGATTTTTACTTGGATAACTCAACAAAAACAAATATGATTTATTTATATTTCTGGTTTCTACAATGTGTACCTTTCTTGTAATAATAGCTTGTAGAGGAATACCAGATAAACTTGACAAGTGTATATCTTGTAGCAGCAACAGAACTGCAGTTGTGGTTACCAATGCTTGGGGTTTGAGAAGTATATGCCTAGTATGCGCCAGTAGGCCTGCTGCAGTGTTCCTCCTTTCTTATGTACATGAGTGTTCTTATGTTGTTTAACACTGACATTTATTTAAGTCTTTACGTGGTGAAAATAATATTAAAGATGGGCTAGATGTTCGATGAGGACAAATTCCAACTACTCCGTTATGGAAAACTGGAGGAGATAATAACTAGAACAGAGTATACTACAGACTCTGACCATACAATAGAGCGGAAAAATAATGTAAGGGACCTGGGAGTAGTAATGAATGAGGATCTCACTTTCAAGGATCACAACAGTGCCATGATCACAAGTGCAAAGAAAATGATAGGATGGATAATGAGAACTTTCAAAACGAGAGATGCCAAGCCAATGATGATCCTTTTCAAGTCACTTGTTCTCTCTAGGCTGGAATACTGCTGTACATTAACATCTCCATTCAAAGCAGGTGAAATCGCAGATCTAGAGAGTGTACAGAGATCCTTTACTGCACGTATAAGTTCTGTCAAGCACCTTAACTACTGGGAACGCTTGGAAGCACTTGACTTGTACTCGTTGGAACGCAGTAGGGAGAGATATATCATAATCTACACTTGGAAAATCTTGGAAGGAATAGTCCCAAATCTGCACACAGAAATCACTCCCTACGAAAGTAAAAGACTGGGCAGGCGATGCAAAATACCCCCAATAAAAAGTAGGGGCGCCATTGGTACACTAAGGGAAAACACCATAAGTGTCCGGGGCCCAAGACTGTTCAACAGCCTCCCATCAAGCATTAGGGGAATTGCCAATAAACTCCTGGCAGCCTTCAAGAGAGAGCTGGACAGATACCTAAAGTCAGTGCCGGATCAGCCGGGCTGTGGCTCTTACGTTGGACTGCGTGCGGCCAGCAGTAACAGCCTAGTTGATCAGGCCCTGATCCATCGGGAGGCCTGGTCATGGACCGGGCCGCGGGGGCGTTGATCCCCGGAATAACCTCCAGGTAACCTCCAGGAACATGGTCAAAAGTGGAGTAGCATCTACCTGGGGTGGGCTGGTAGGCCTCGTATATATGTGTACCTTTACCTAAATAAACTTACAGTGCTCCCTGGTGTAACTTGGTATATAATGGCTGTGTCACTGTTGAGTGACAATCATTTGATACATTATGGTGGTTTGAATCCTGTGGTATGGCATTAGTGATTGCCGTTACGGCTGCTTCCAAGCATTTGCGTCTGTCTGAGTCATTGTCTCGAATTATAAACATAGCTTTGTTAAGCATCGTGATGTGTTCCCAGCATCATGATACAATCGCAAACTTCAGGGTTCGATTTCTTGGCGCGGAGAAACATACAGGCAAGCTTTCTTTTGCAAGCAAAACACAAGTGCATATTTATTACAAAACGTTTAGGTCCTGGGACCTTGATCAAGAAGTGATCAAGGTCGAAGGACCGAAACGTTTTCTAATATGTGCTAGTGTTTGCTTACGTGTTTTTTGTAAACTAATTTGTCAGTATTTATTACCAAGGTTTATACCAAGTTTCCTAATACCTCTGCTGCCCCTGCCCACCACCTCTGCTGCCCCTGCCCACCACCTCTGCTGCCCCTGCCCACCACCTCTGCTGCCCCTGCCCACCACCTCTGCTGCCCCTGCCCACCTAGCAGTAAAAATAGACACTAATGTGTTAGCCCACTACTGTGACTTGAGTCTGGGTTAAAATGTATCTCAAAACTCTTCCTCCTTGAATGTTATATTTTGTCTTAGAAAATTCCAGTACCTACTAGATAGCTACATCCTGTCTAAGAAAACTCCAGTACCTACTAGATAGCTACATCCTGGCTAAGAAAATTCCAGTACCTACTAGATAGCTACATCCTGTCTAAGAAAGCTCCAGTACCTACTAGATAGCTACATCCTGTCTAAGAAAATTCCAGTACCTACTAGATAGCTACATCCTGTCTAAGAAAACTCCAGTACCTACTAGATAGCTACATCCTGGCTAAGAAAACTCCAGTACCTACTAGATAGCTACATCCTGTCTAAGAAAACTCCAGTACCTACTAGATAGCTACATCCTGTCTAAGAAAGCTCCAGTACCTACTAGATAGCTACATCCTGTCTAAGAAAACTCCAGTACCTACTAGATAGCTACATCCTGTCTAAGAAAGCTCCAGTACCTACTAGATAGCTACATCCTGTCTAAGAAAACTCCAGTACCTACTAGATAGCTACATCCTGTCTAAGAAAACTCCAGTACCTACTAGATAGCTACATCCTGGCTAAGAAAACTCCAGTACCTACTAGATAGCTACATCCTGTCTAAGAAAGCTCCAGTACCTACTAGATAGCTACATCCTGTCTAAGAAAACTCCAGTACCTACTAGATAGCTACATCCTGTCTAAGAAAACTCCAGTACCTACTAGATAGCTACATCCTGGCTAAGAAAACTCCAGTACCTACTAGATAGCTACATCCTGGCTAAGAAAACTCCAGTACCTACTAGATAGCTACATTCTGGCTAAGAAAACTCCAGTACCTACTAGATAGCTACATCCTGGCTAAGAAAACTCCAGTACCTACTAGATAGCTACATCCTGGCTAAGAAAACTCCAGTACCTACTGGGTAAAAAGTATCCATGTGTTCTTGTAAGAGTAGAAGTGCAACCTGCATCAACAGGTTGGTTGCAACAATCGTATCCGTTGCATGCTAAAACATGAGCAGTGGTCAATGTACGCTAATTTTTTTGTTCCACTTCTCCCAGCACGCTACCCAGAGTACCATTATAATACCCAGGGACTTTTTCATTTTATAATTAGAATACCTAAGAGTTTGCTATCTCATTTAGCAAGTTAGTGACAGTGTATCACCAAATTATTCATATATTATTTTTATTATAAGAAGCCATTGCAACTGGCTAGTAACACTATCACCATCATACTCATTAATTCCACCATTTTCTGCTAATAATGTAAGATGTCATCAATTTAAGCTGACCAAGGATTATACATGCATAATTTAGCAAGTATGTGGCTACAACAGTGGCACTGGAGGGGGGGGATTATGACTGTAGTATGCAAATAAGCAGTAGCTTTGTACTACAGGTAGCGACATATATCACCGTGAATGAAAAGGTACCGAGTACCAATTTCGTAAACTTTAATGTTATGTGGTACGTTCGTGTAATTTACCACGGAATAAATACTTGAACTTTCATGTATCCTAGACAAGGCTGGAGTTGATATTTAAAGGCCCAGCGCTGCAAGCCCTGGGAAGATTTTTCAAGCTTAAAGCTTTCCTAAGTTGATGGTGTGGCAGTGAGGGATGCTGCTAGGGCAAGCGTGAACAAGATGACTGATGTAGCATCCACACTCGTGCAGATGGACAAATTTAGTCTAGCATGATGCAATCCCTTTAACGGCTGACTCTGCAACATTGAGAATTAAAGCATAAATATATCCGTCTATCTCATTATACATCTCATGTGAGTGTTGTCATCATCCCTGCGTCCTGTAAGCGTACATGGATTAATGGCTAGTCTTATTGTACTATCGTGAGATCGTTGAAATGAATTACAGGGAGTTGGTGGACAGACATAGTTCAAAAGAAATATTTTGTTATGTGTATTTTATAATTTATTTAGGGCGCCCAGATATAGTGTCATCACATAAGATGTATCTGGACGCCTTGAACACGAGATGTTTGTCATATTTGAGCTTCTCGCGCTCCTTGACGCAAAATAAATGCGGAAAATAAAGTTTTGGAAACATGCGACCTAAATCACGTGATCAGATCAGCTGGGATTTGGCGGGAGTGGCGCATTTGACGTAATTACAGCACGCTAGCCGCTGATTGGCTAGCATACGTGACGTCATAACAGCACGCTAGCCCCTGATTGACTGTAGTAGCTTCCAGTGGCTTGTACCTATGACGTCGCCACCGTTCAGGGCTCCTGATTGGCCAAGCCGCCGTTCCCACAATCCCCCGCGTGTAGCCGCTTCCATTTTAAGTTAGAGATGATGAAGTCGTGAGGTGTAAACGAGTGCTCAGTTTTGTGACAGGCTTCGTAGCCATTTGACTTGGTGATATTGCCGTGCTATGCTCCATGTTGGAGCTCCAGTGTAGAGTGATAAAGATGGACGTGGCCATGAAGCTGGAGTTTGACAGCTGTGACGAGGAGGAGGTTAATAATACTTCCTTCCACACGCTCAGCTCGGGCTGTGATGTGGACGATGGCGGCGATATCTCTGGTGAGGATGTACCACCACCCAGCCCTTCCCCAGCGCGTCTCTTCAGTCCTAGGAAGGCCTCTAGGCCTATTATCAAGGCTGAGTGCCTGGCCAGCCAACATGCCGTCGAGTCACCGCCATATAAGAAAATTCGAGCGTTGCGTCTCTTTGACTCTCCAGCGACGCCCAAGACGCTACTCCAGAAAAGCACAGCCGAGGCTTTAAGCCGACCAGGCTCACGATCACGACTATTCCCAACACTGAGGCAGAGAACAGTGTTGCCAGCAGCTACTAGCCAGGCTCCAGTCAACCTCACACCTCCCACAACCTCCACACACACCAAGGAACAAGGAAAATCAGCAACTAGAGAAGTTGCTAATATTAATCCCTTCACCCCCACCGGCATGTTACTCTCCTCCAGGAAGAGATCAAGATCAAAGAGAGAAATATCAACTGGGTAAGATTTTTAATTTTAATGTGGTCATGCTAACAAAATACCTGTTACTTCTTTGTGTTAAATACCTTCACGTGACATCTCGGTTCTTGGGGATTTATAAAATTTGATTTGTATATTTTGTGGGTTGAGAGTTGGACCTGACCAGCTTGGGCCAGTAGGCCTGCTGCAGTGTTCCTTATGTTATCGTGTATTTAAGTATATTGAGTTTTCCCTTTTCTACCTAACTCTCGCCTATCCCAGATATTCACGAAAAAAAATATTTAAACATTTGGTCAATCTCACCCAGTAAGGGAAGGGGAGGGGTCTTAAATGTTAATTTGTTGAAGGCTTCACAGACTTGATGTAATGTTTTTTGTTTTGCTTCAAATATTAAAATATTTGGTGGTTGCTAGGCAGCCACATAGAATGAAGTTTTACATTCCTTAAACTATTACATGTTCTCTAATTGTTAAAGGTTTGAATGTAGTAAATTTTAGGTAGGTTCACTTAAGTACAGATAAGCAAAGTTGTGTGAATTACCATTATCATGCATAATAAATTACCTATTATGTATAGGGGTTTTAATTTGTATATTTATGCATTGTGAACCCGTTTGATAAATTGAGAATTTCGACAGATGTTATAGAATTCACTTTGAACTAGATAAAAATTTTAATTTGTTTTACCCAAGGCTTGTTACTTTTTATTATGTTTGCAGTCCAGCATCATTATTTTAAGTATAATCCTGGTTCATATTAGGTTACAGTTCAATTATCTAATGATATGAAATTCACTTAGAAATTTGTTTATCCTCTGTCCCTGACACCATTATTTTTATTTCAGGCAAACAAACCTTTCAGAAAGTATGGACCTCAGTCTGGAAGATTGTTGTAATGATTCATGTGATGAATGTGAGGATGAAACTGGCAGACCCACGAAGAGATTAGCAATACATGAAGCTAATGTCTCGAGATATCATCATGAATTTCTTGAACTAGAACAGATAGGGCAAGGAGAATTTGGCGGCGTGTACAAATGTCGGCATAGATTAGATGGGTGCATTTATGCAATCAAAAAATCTCTAAAGCCAGTAGCAGGATCAGTTAATGAGTAAGTACATTTTATGGTTGAATTTATTAAAAATTTTGTTGGAGATAGGCTGTGAAATAAATTGCTGAAGTATTAAGATTACAGATCTCAGATTCCTCAAGTCACCAATTGGTCAAGAGAAGTTGACAGTATTTCCCTACAAGTGAAGAATTCTGTATACTTGATAAAAATATGGAATATCACTAAGCTCATGTAATGTAGCATAACCTAAAATAATCTGACTTGTAATTTGATGACTTTACTGGATACCTTTTTAATTAGCAACAGTAAAATAAAATTTAAATAGTTAACCATAGTTTAATTTTTTTTTTTTTTTGCAGGAGAATAGCATTAAACGAAGTTTATGCACATGCAGTCTTAGGGAAGCATCCTCATATTGTTCGGTACTATTCTGCTTGGGCAGAGAATGATCACATGATAATTCAGAATGAATACTGTAATGGGGGCTCCTTGGCAGATATGATAGAAAAGGCTAGAACGGGTAGAAAAATAAGTGAACACATCCTGAAGCAAGTCCTTTTACATGTAGCGAAGGGCCTCAAGTAAGTATTACTGTACGTAATTTGTTAAAAGTATCACTTACCTCTATAATTACTTTCAAATTGTATTATATTATGTTGCAGAAAGTGTAATAAAAACCCCTCAATGAGAGGAAAATGTCTGACTAAAATGAAGTATGGTTATCCATTTTGACATCTAAGTGAGCTATCTTTCAGCAGATAATTTACTATATAAATATTACTTGGTAAGCAGTTATTCTTATTTGCAGGTGCATTCACACTCTCCAGTTAGTGCACATGGATATAAAGCCAGCAAATATCTTTGTATCCCGGGAACAGAAAGTGAATTTACAAGGAGAAGAATCGGCAGATGATGGATTTGAAGAGGAGCATATTGAGGAGGAAGAGGAAGTTACCTATAAAATTGGTATGCTTTTTTTATTTATTAGCTTTGCAGAAAGTAACAAATACATATACCAAGTTAGAGCATATTGTATAATTGGTTTATTTGTGACTTGCTATTAATTTGTTGCATAAATACTTAAGAATTGCTGCAGCAAGCCTGCTTGCCCATGTGTTGCAGGTTCTGCTAATGCTCACCCTTTAGAGGAACACCTTGATGCTAATGGAGGGCTCTTGATTTAAAGAATTTAGAGCTATCTCTATTCCCCCTTCTTTTTCCTTGGATTGAGCTTTATCCCAGGTGCTTATGACGCGTTTAGTGCTTCCTTGTAAATTTTCCTTCATTACTGACTTGGTAATTTTCTTACCACTTTTAATATTACTGTAGAATGAAATTGTAAGTAACCATATAAATATTGCAGGAAACTAGTCAGTGATTGAATACTCGATGCATACATGTAGGTGCTTCCTACAGTGTTAAATTTAAAGCATTTTATCTCTTGCTAAATAAAACATGAATTATAAAATTGGCTGTATTGTAACTCCTGGTAAAAATGTTATTTGAAAACTTTTTATTAGGCTTTCAGAATTTTGAGCAAAGAAAAATTTGTATTTGTGGAAGGAATGAAATGACGGTATGGCTTGCCAGGAGTAAGTGATGAAACTATGCTTTTTTTTTTTAATGTAGACTTCATATATATTAAAAAATGTGTGAAACTAGGGCAGTCTTGGGTACTTGCATAAAATGCTGAGGGACAGCTTTAGGAGGCAAGTAGTAGAATAGTACATTACCATTTGTATTGGTAAGTTTCTTACTAAAGCTATTTGACAGGTGACACTTGGAGTGTGTTTAATTGATTAGCTATTATATGTTTTTGCTGGGTGTTAGTCGACTGGTGTGGGTCGCATCCTGGGGGACAAGATTAAGGACCCCAATGGAAATAAGTTAGACAGTCCTCGATGACGCACTGACTTTCTTGGGTTATCCTGGGTGGCTAACCCTCCGGGGTTAAAAATCCGAACGAAATCTTATCTTATATTGTGCTTGGAAGCTATTTTCTCATTGACAGTTTTTCTTTTCAGGTGATCTTGGTCATGTTACATCCATGGGTAATCCTCAAGTGGAAGAGGGAGATTGCCGGTACCTTCCTCGAGAGATTCTCCAGGAAGATTTTACTCAATTGCCCAAGGCAGATGTATTTGCTCTAGGTCTTACCATATATGAAGCTGCAAGAGGTGAACCTCTTCCTCTTAATGGAGAGGAGTGGCATGCAATTCGTAATGGGGAGCTAGAGCCACTGCCAGGATATTCCCTAGAGATGCAATTATTACTGAAGCAAATGGTTCAAACTGACCCATCTGCTCGACCCACAGCATCACAGTTAGTTCACCATCACACGCTCTGCCCACCTACAGTAATGTCTCGTGAACAGTTACGTCGAGAACTCAATGCAGAAAGACTTAAAAATGATATTTTATCTCGGCAACTGAAAGAAGCTGCCAAGTGTCTTAAAAGTTTAACACCAGGTACTGTAACCTCTACCGTAGTTGCAGTAGCCTCTGGTGTGCTTGCTGGCGTGGCACCTACCCCTGCTAATGTTCCTTCAATACCACCCACGAGATCAGGGCCTACCACGAGAAACTCTAGATTAATAGGTAAAAAAGCAAATAGAAGTGCGAGCACTAGTAATTTCTGATTTATATAAATATTATAATGAAATTATATGGCAAAATTAAATTATAAATAATTCAGCTAATTAGCCTATGAATTAGTGCTTTTAGTCATTTTGTAAATACATGTACAGTGATATCTACAAATATTGAGATCAAAGATCTTTGTTTTATACCTATTTGAAGAGGTTTTGATCTGTATAATTGCACTTGTAGATATGAACTGGGTTGTAATTTCAGAATGGATGTAGAAGTTGGCATGATTGAGTGAAAGATAGGTAATGGAGTCAGACTTCAAGAAGTGGATCTAGTCTCCGTGCACGCATTTTCTCGTGCAATGCTCACTACTGAAAATAGTCCCACATTTGTTGGGTAACCTTATGCATAGCACAATTGTGCTCAAATTCAAACTGTCGTACCTACTGAAGCCTCGCATTTGCAAGGCACCAATATACCCAGAATGCTTTGGGTGATACTTTAACAGAAGCTTTAAAAATGTTTAGTTTACAATTTGTATAGTATTTGGGTAGCCAAGTCAATTAAACATTTTAGCACTGTTTTTCTAGGGTCACTCAAGTTGTAGTTGAAATATACAAGTTCTGGGAATTTTAATGCTTGCACTTGTAAATTTGATTATAATTGAACTTTTAAATGGCAGGGGGTAGGTGATCACAATGAACTTACTAGGAGTACTGGAAGCATGTGATACTGCCTCTCCCCAGTTTTGAAATGCATTATAACAATCATACAATCACGTGCCTTATTATTGTGATAGTAGTTATATCCTTTTCATTATCTAGTTATTCTTTTACTATTGAAAGTTTTGCTAGCTTTTTTCTATACAGTAATTACAAAACTTTTTAGGTAGATTTATTTTAAATACATAGGGCTATGTATGTATACTTTTATTTCTAATGGATAAAATGCCATCTTTTGGTTTAGCTCTGACTATATAGCAGCATTGTCACAAATTTTCCAAACAGGTTTTTCAGGTTGTCTTCGGATAAGACATTCCGTGTACTGTGATTTCTTGCTTTCTCTGTACTGTTTTGTATAAATAAATTTTATATTAATTTGTGACGTAGTTTGTTTGCTCCTGGTAAATGCTAGATAGTAGATCTTGTACAGTCAGTGCAGTGTAGGGTTCTTGATAGGTACTTCAGTGTGCACTAATATTAACATTTTTATTTTTCAGTACAGAACATCCATTACTAAATGATGTACAGTACAATGTTCCAATGTGAATGTTTCTTTTTGGTCATCCTACATTTGTGTCCAGTATTAAAAAAAAAATGGTTGCAGTTAGTGATGTAAAAACTGCAAGTATAAAAAATATTTTTTTCTACAGAAGTGAATTAAGAATTCTGATAGTACTATGAAAATGTTGCATGAAAGTGGAATACTGTGTGTGCACTTTATATTTACAATGTACTGTAAAACCTGTTTTGTATAGTGCGAGTGTTTGGTATTGATTAATTTTAATTGCCTGATGGCAAAAGATTATTTTTCTATGGGTGTAACATAGATGCAATATAGTATTAGCCTGCTGTATAGAAGACTGAATTATAATTGGTCAGAGTTTACTTTGGAGAAAGTGGATGAGTTTTGTTGGTATTAAATTTAATAGTAAATTGAAAACGATGTTCTCTCTAGTAACTTAATTCTGTACTTCATTTACATTGTTTCTTCACTCTTGGTTTTATTTTCTGTAGACAAGAAGGTTGATTCCCAATTGTCATTCATTTAAGAATTCCTTTTATTTAGTGCTGAACTCCCATGGGTTTATTTTTTCAATATAATTTTATTTAATACCTATTGGAGTAATTTATCCTTTAAAACTTTACTTAATTTGCTTCTTCATTGCTGAAGATATTAAAACAATTTTTTTTAACAAGTCGGCAGTCTCCCACCGAGGCAGGGTGACCCAAAAAGAAAAAATCCCCAAAAAGAAAATACTTTCATCATTCAACACTTTAACCTCACTCATACATAATCACTGTTTTTGCAGGAGTGCTCAGAACACGACAGTTTAGAAGCATTTACGTATAAAGAGAACATATCCCTCCAAACTGCTAATGTTCCGAAACCCCTCCTTTAGAGTGCAGGCATTGTACTTCCCATTTCCAGGACTCGAGTCCGGCTATATAAAAACCGTTTTCCCTGAATTTTTTTTTTTTTTTTTCAACAAGTCGGCCGTCTCCCACCGAGGCAGGGTGACCCAAAAAAGAAAAAATCCCCAAAAAGAAAATACTTTCATCATCATTCAACACTTTCACCACACTCACACATTATCACTGTTTTTGCAGAGGTGCTCAGAATACAACAGTCTAGAAGCATACACATATAAAGATACACAACATATCCCTCCAAACTGCCAATATCCCAAACCCCTCCTTTAAAGTGCAGGCATTGTACTTCCCATTTCCAGGACTCAAGTCCGACTATATGAAAATAACCGGTTTCCCTGAATCCCTTCACTAAATATTACCCTGCTCACACTCCAACAGATCGTCAGGTCCCAAATACCATTTCTCCATTCACTCCTATCAAACATGCTCGTGCACACCTGCTGGAAGTCCAAGCCCCTCGCCCAAAACCACCTTTACCCCTTCCAACCTTTTCGAGGACGACCCCTACTTCACCTTCCTTCCCCTACAGATTTAAATGCACTCCATGTCATTCTACTTTGATCCATTCTCTCTAAATGACCAAACCACCTCAACAACCCCTCTTCAGCCCTCTGACTAATACTTTTAACTCCACACCACCTCCCCTCAAGGGAGGTTCCTTGATGCTGGTGAGGGGCTCTTGATCTAGGGAATTGGATCTGTGCTCCAGTTCCCTGTATTGAGCCTGAATGCCTTCCATAACCCCCCAATGTGCTGTATAATCCTTTGGTTTTAGCACTCCCTCATGATTATAATAATCCACACCAAATTTTCTGCATATTTACACCACACATTGCCCTTAGGACATCACTGCCTCCAACTGCCTCCTTGCTGCTGCATTCACAACCCAAGCTTCACACCCATATAAGAGTGTTGGTACTACTATACTTTCATACATTCCCTTCTTTGCCTCCATAGATAACATTTTTTGTCTCCACATATACCTCAACGCACCACTCGCCTTTTTTTCCTCGTCAATTCTATGATTAACCTCGTCCTTCATGAATCCATCCGCCGACACATCAATTCCCAAGTATCTGAAAACATTTACTCCTTCCCAATTTGATATCCAATTTTTCTTCATCTAAATCATTTGATACCCTCATCACACTTTTCTGTGTTCACTTTCAACTTCCTACCCTTACACACACTCCTAAACTCATCCACTAACCTTTGCCATTTTTCTTTAGAATCTCCCATAAGCACAGTATCATCAGCAAAAAGCAACTGTCAATTCCCATTTTGTATTTGATTCCCCATAATTTAATCCCACCCCTCTCCTGAACACCCTAGCATTTACTTCTTTTACAACCCCGTCTATAAATGTATTAAACAACCATGGTGACATTACACATCCCTGTCTAACACCTACTTTTACTGGGAAGTAGTCTCCCTCTCTTCTACACACCTTAACCTGAGCCTCACTATCCTCATAAAAACTTTACAGCATTTAGTAACTTACCACCTATTCCAGATACTTGCAACATCTGCCACATTGCTCCCCTATCCACTCTATCATATGCCTTTTCTAAATCCATAAATGCAATAAAAACTTTCCTACCTTTATCTAAATACTGTTCACATATATGCTTCAATGTAAACACTTGATCTTCACATCCCCTACCAACTCTGAAACCACCTTGCTCATCTGCAATCCTACATTCTGTCTTACCTCTAATTCTTTCAATTACAACCCTACCGTATACTTTTCCTGGTATACTCAGTAAAACTTATTCCTCTATAATTTTTATAATCTCTCTTGTCCCCCTTTCCTTTATATAAAGGGACTATACATGCTCTCTGCCAATCCCTAGGTACCTTCCCCTTTTTCATACATTTATTAAACAAAAATACCAACCATTCGAACACTATCCCCCCTGCTTCTAGCATTTCTGTCATGATCCCGTCAGTTCCAGCTGCTTTACCCCCTTTCATTCTCCGTAATGCCTCACGTACCTCCCCCACACTTACATTCTGCTCTTCTTCACTCCTAAAAGATGGTATACTTCTCTGGCCACTGCATGAAATTACCGCTTCCCTTTCTTCATTGACATTTAAAAGTTCCTCAAAATATTCTCGCCATCTACCCAAAACCTCGATCTCCCCATCTACTAACTTCCCTACTGTTTTTAACTGACAAATCCATTCGTTCTCTGGCTTTCTTAACTGGAGTTTACCTGGAGAGAGTTCTGGGGGTCAACGTCCCCGCAGCCCGGTCTGTGACCAGGCCTCCTGGTGGATCAGAGCCTGATCAACCAGGCTGTTGCTGCATGCAAACCAACGTATGAGCCACAGCCCGGCTGGTCAGGAACCGACTTTAGGTGCTTGTCCAGTGCCAGCTTGAAGACTGCCAGGGGTCTGTTGGTAATCCCCCTTATGTATGCTGGGAGGTAGTTGAACAGTCTTGGGACCCTGACACTTATTGTATGGTCTCTTAACATACTAGTGACACCCCTGCTTTTCATTGGGGGGATGTTGCATCGTCTGTTTTACTCTTTTTAACTTAAACTTAAGTCGCTCCAAAATTTTTTCTTATTTTCATTAAAATTCTTGACAGTACCTCTCCCACTCTATCATCTGCTCTCCTTTTGTACTCTCACCGCTCTTTACCTTTCTTTTACTCTCCATATACTCTACTCTTCTTATAACACTTCTGCTTTGTAAAAACCTCTCATAAGCTAACTTTTTCTCTTATCACACCCTTTACTTCTTCATTCCACCAATCACTTCTCTTTCCTCCTGCACCCATCTAATTTATTTTTAGTTTGCATTTAGGAATTGACAATCCTGAACAGTAACTGATGAAAAGGAAGAAGGGATGGGGGAATCAGGAAGACTACAAATGGATTGCATTAGCTTGGGCATTCCCTGCTAATAGAGATGCTGTAGAAATGTGCTGGCATTTTTTTTTTAGCAAGTCGGCCGTCACCCACCGAGGAAGGGTGACCCAAAAAGAAAGAAAAGATACTTTCATCATTCAACACTCACCTCACTCACACATAATCACTGTTTTTGCAGAGGTGCTCAGAACTGTATATATTATAATACATGTATGGCAATGTTTTACAATAGAAAGTTATAAAAGTTTTGATCTTGGATCTGTTCAGTCAAGTGCTTATTATTCTTTGATCTGGAAGCCACATTCGTCCTTTGGCATCATATCAAGGGAAGATGTGGCACTTTGTCAGGTTGAGCATCTACTTTTCCTCTTGCTGGTTTGTTCTTTGAATTACCTGGGATCAGCACTGTGATTAATCCCTTTGAGGGAGGTTCCTTGATGCCATGAAAGCTCTTCTAGGTATCTTGTTTGAGAGTGGCTCATGATCTAATGAAATGGTGCCATCCTTTCCTTATGGAAGGTCCCTGCATACTGGACTTTCTCTGGGATTGAAAATAATTGCCTCCAATTTCCCCAGGTGCTATGTGACCCTTCGACATTTAGCACTTTTCATGATTAGTATAATTCCCCAAGCATTTTATAAATAATGTTTGGGGAATTGAACAGTGAACACAGGTGTTCACTGTCAATGCTACCTCAGTTGCTTTCAGAATTAACCCTGCAACCTCAGGGATGACCCTGGTATTGTATACCATTTTGATATTCACTCAGAAATAATTGTTCAGTGTTGTATGACCCTTGTGGGTTTAGAGCTGTATAGCCCTTGTGGCTTAGCGCTTCTTTTTTGATTATAATAATAATTGTGGGTTTAGCGCTTAGTTTTGATTATAATATTGCTTTTTGTTAAATGGCACTTTCGGTTGCAACCCCAAAATCAATTATTTTTCCAAAACTTAGAGATATTTTAAGGATTTTGCTTGGATCCTGTCATCGATCATGACGGTGTAGGTGGTTGTCTTTGTTTTAGTGTATTTGTCTTTATGGCTGCCGTGGTTGACTCACAGCTCCTA